TTGAGGATTAGGGTTGTTTGGGGCTACGGGGCTTCAGGGTGTAGGGCTCAGGGGGGTGGATAAAGGGCTTTCTGTCTGCGGGGCTTCTTTGGAAGTAAGGCCTCGGGGTGACAGCAGGTGTATAATGATGAGAAGAAGACTGATCATTCTATGTAAAGGTATATGTTTCTTGTGTATGTCACACACATACATGCATATCAACTGGTATACTGTGTATACACGAAGGCGAATGCATACATACACGTATATCTTATGTACAAACACAAATGAACGGACTTCAGTGCTTGTCCACTGAGTCTTTGTTCCATGACCCTGTGGACCCCACACCCTATCGGCAACAGTCCCCATGAGGACAGTGCTACCGGACATCGTGATCTCATGCCCCAACTATCCTATTACACTCTGATGCCACTGCAACCCCAGAACACATGCAGACATGATACTCAGATCAAGGAGATGGACGAGACGAGCCCTGATTTAATCTAAGGCAATTAGGGTTTTGGGTGCACAGCGTTACAGCCAGCCGCACTGCTATGTCTTGTTGCCCACAGACAGTACGGGGTTCGAGCACACACCATAAACCACAACTCCAAGCTCACAGGTGCGGATGGGGCACGTCTGGAAGCTTTCGTAGTAAAGCCGCGCATACCTCATGAAGCAATGCTCTCAGCAACGATGGCAGGCCAAACGAATTATGCTGTACGGGATTGGGTTTTAGTTTAATCTAGGGTTTCAGTTTAGGGTTTAGGCTTGGACTTGCGACTTAACCTAAAACCCACACATTGAACGTTGCCCAAACCATATCCAGTGCCCGGAACTAGACTAGATGCGGCTTGAGTTCTGACAGTCATTGCAGACCGCTGGTTCCGGATCCCTTGCTCAGGGTTTAGGGTTTAGGGTTCTTCCTCGCAGTGCCAAGGCTAGCGGGTTTAGGGTTTAGGGTTTTGGGTTTTGGGACCCTAAACCCTAAACCGTTGGTCATCGAGGTCTTCGTCACAACGAACAGCCAGCAGCCAGCACCCCGTCTCGAACCACATCGAGTAACAAGGCCTACAGAAGGACATCGTCATATCAGCACCCAGTTGCTCATACAACCCCCTCCCCGGCCCAAAACCCAAAACTCTAAACGCTAACCCTAAGCATCATGATCGCACACATCTTGTTTAGAAGCCCAGAGAAAAACCAGCATAACCTGTCCTGACCCTTCACATCAGACCGGTGATGAAACTCTGGTGCTCAAGACGTTCGGCCGAAGGTTTAAGGCCTATGCCCGTCGCTCTTGACAAAGGGTTCTTCACAGGATGCCTCGTAAGATCCTTCTGTCATCGTCTTGGGGGAGGGGGCGATATCATCGCCATCAGCCCGGCTCATGAAGGATATGCTTGCTGGGTTTTGGGGTTTAGTGTTAGGGATCTGTTTGGGCCATGTTGAAATCAAGGATCGCCGTCCTAAAGAAGGCAAGGCTGTTGGGGTCTGGAGTTTAGGGCTTAGGGATTAAGGTCTGAGACCCTAAACCGTAAACCCTATACCCCAGACTGCCACCATACCGTGGCGACCCCAACTTGGTGAGCAGCCCAGGTGCACAACCAGCGTGTTCGCCATGGAAGTGCATTGATTCCTGAGTGGGGGTTTAGGGTTTGGGTTTTGTGGTCTTGGGCAGCACTCATGCAGGCAACTAGTTGAACGTGGGAGGCTGGCAATACGACCCCCTGAACCCAGACCCCCAAAACCCCAAACTCGCGCCTTTTTGCATCGCCGGGTGTCTGGCTTGCACGGCTTCTACCCTAAGGCTCCATGTACCTATAGAATATACTTAGGCCTTGAAGTACCTATCTTGGAGGACCTGTAAGGCCCAAGTACATACTATAACATAGGCCTTGAAGTACCAAAAGTTTAAAGTACTTATATATATATACACACACATACATATATATATATACATACATATACATATAAATATAAATATAAATATAAATATAAATATAAATATAGATATAAATATAGTGTACATGTCTCAAAGCTCATATAGCGTTACCTCAGAATTGTGAGAGGCAGCGAGGTCTGTTCGCAAATATGAATATAAATATAAATGTAAATATACATATAAATATAATTATAAATATGAATAAATAAATAAATATATATATATATATATATATATATATATATGCATACATACAGACATACATACATATCCCCTTCAAGGCCTATAACATATACTATATCGCATGGAGCCTTAGGGTACCGGGCCTTCGACTTAGACCCTCATCGAAGTTCGGAGCTGGAAAGCCGGCGTTTTCGGGTGTACCCCCGAGGGGGTTTAGGCCGGCCTTTAGGGTTTTTGTTTAAGGTTTAGGGTTTAGCTTTTAGGGCTTTGTTTTAGGCTTTTGGGCCTTCGTTTTTTTGTTTGGGGGGGCTCTTCTGGGGTTTTAGGGTTTAGGGTTTAGGGTTTAGGGTTTCGAGTTCGCCAGTTTTATCCATGAAGGTCTCATGAAAGCTTACGGTCTTGCTGACCGCGTACGGCTGCGAGAGCCTCCTGCCAGAACGACTCGCTCAAGAAAACTATTGTCCACTAAACCCTAAACCCCTAAACCCTAAACCCCTAAAGCCCTAAACCCTAAACCCTATAAACCCTAAACTATTCCGGCTTTGACCGGCTCTCCGTGTACTCCAAAAGAGCTGGAAGAAGGCTCTTCTCTACAGGTTCTCCGCGTGATTGCGAGCGGCGCTGGGTCCAGAGAGGCTGCGCCGAGATGTTTGCTCAAGCCGTGGTCCTGCTCTCCTGAGAGAGAGCGAGAGAGAGAGAGAGAGAGAGAGAGAGCGGTTTAGGGTATAATATGGGGGGCCTTAATAGTTAGAGTAGGATTTTTGGGTATATTATACCACAGTTATTAAAAAAAAAAAAAAGGAATCCCCAAGAAAGTATCGGTAATTTATTTAGGCCCCTAAACTAGGGTTTAGGGTTCAAAAAAAGAGGCCAGAGTCTCCAAGATCCCCCTTTGCAGTTAGGAAATGCATACAGATACAAGGCGTAGCCCCCCCCCCCCGAATTGAGAGGAGTTTAGGGTTTAGGGTCCTCAATGAAGAGACGATTCATTCAGGGATTCCCAGTCTCTCTTACCCTGGTTCTCAATGTTGCGTGCCATATCCAAATGCCAGCCGAAAAATGCAAGCCGAAGAAGTAGTGGCGACATAAGAAAGTCATGATATCAAAGATTTCCACATTGACACGGATAAAAGGTTGGTTTAGGTTTTAGAGGTTTAAGGTTTCGTGATAACGATTTCGAGGCACTTCGTACTATTACTTTCGCATCGCACAGCATGGGAAGTGCCATCAACCACGTTGCAAATCAGCCAGTCAACCTACAAGAGAAAGCACTAAGCACAGGCAACCGCATGACAAAACCTTAACTTAACATAGCCCTATCCCAAGATCTACAATCTTTACGGGACAATAGGAGGGACCCCTAGAAGGGACGCCTAATCCAAATACCCTGTAGAACCCTTATATACCCCTTATAGAGACTCACGAAGCCCCTATATAACCCCAAGGGTCCCTTTAAGGGTCCCTCTTTTCGTCCCTTGACATCTGCACCTAAAGCGTGAACCCTACCTCCACCCCGAAAAACTGACTCTACGCCCTCCCCCAAAGGCCCCAAAAGCCCTTGTAGAAGCCCTATACTAACCCTACCACTGCCTTTAAAGGACGCCTGAAACGAACCCTAATATAAGGGCCTTTAGAATCAGAATAGGGTTTTGGGGTAGATTATACTATAATCACAATGAGGAACCCCCCAAAATAGTATGGGTAATTACTGGGGCCCCTATATTAGAACCCTTGCAGGTGCTCCTTTGACGGGATGATGTGGTCCTAAAAGCCTGCAGCACAGGCAGAGGGGTCGTCGGGTTCAGAGCTCATTTAAGGGTTTAGGGTTTAGGGTGGCTCTGATCTCGTCTGTAGGGGATCTGTATACGGGATCTATAAGACTTCTATTAGGGGTAAGGGGCTCTGGAGCATGTATGGCTAGAGGGGTGTGAGGGTTTTAGGGGCTTTCTTGGATTGGAGGAACTAGGATTGTAGAGTTAGGAGGCTGCCCACCGGATAGGAAGATTTGTTTCGAGAGTGTCGAGCATTGGTATCTGCAGCAAGACCTAAACCGTCTAGAGCTTCACTAAGCCCTAAACCCTACACCTCTTGTGAAGAATATCGACGTCCGGGTCGCAGGGTTTGTTGGGCTTAGAGGTTCTGGAGGTCGTGTAAGCGCGGGTGATGCTGTTGGGTTTTAGGGTTTAGGATTTTAGGATTTAGGGCTTAGGGATTAAGAGGTTTAGGAGTGTTGGGTCCATGTGTGTTCGTGGAGGACGTAGGCTGTCTGTAGCATTGCTGCCGTCGTTGATTCAGTGCCGTGTGATGTGTGATCTGGCTAGCTTGGCCATTCCGACTGCAAGATTACTGAATGCGTAGTTGTGGTGTTGCTATAATTTTAGTATAATATACCCCAAAACCCTATTCGAATTATGAAAGCCCCTACACTAAGCCTCGGCAGGGACTTCAAAGACCTCAGTCGGACGCCAGGAAAACACGGTTGAAGACCCAGGCTTTTATGTTTGGGCTTTTGTAAGGGTCCATGTGCCCAAATAGTATATACTTTGGCAGTAGTCCCTATATCGGTAGTTTGGGGCCAAAGTACATACTATTTGGGTACATGGACCCTTAAGGTTTAGTGGTTGCTTAAAGGGCTCTGCATGCGAATTCTATCGGGATTCGAATCAGCACCGCCAGGTTGTATGAAGCTTCCTCGGGAGGCTTACGGGATGAAACCTAAACGATCCTAAGCCCTAAGCCCTAAGCCCTAAGCCCTAAGCCCTAAGCCCTAAGCCCGAAGCCCTAAGCCCTAAGCCCTAAACCTTAAACCCTCTAAACCGCAAACCCTAGACCTTAAACCGCCTTTAAGCCGCACAGCCGCCTCAGTCTTCGTCTTCACGTGATCCCAGGGAGACTAGGTCTCGGTGAGCTCTTCCTGAATCAGAGATTGCTGGGTGAACCTACCCACCTCCCTAAACCCTAAACCCTAAACCCTAAACCCTAAACTTAAACCCTAAACCCAAAACCCTAGACCCTAAATGCCACACCAAGCCCTACAACCTGAACCTTCAGATACCCGGAGCTACCAAAACCTACTTGTTGTAGGGTCCCTCTCTCTCTCTCTATATATATATATATATTATATTATCCTATATATATATATATATATTATTATATGAGTGCTTATAATAAGAGCCTACAAATCAGTAGGTTCTGGTAGCTGATGATACGCCTACGGACTCCTCTCATGCCAAGGCTCCAGAAGCAACGAGCAGTAAAGCCTGGGAGGGAGGGAGGGCGGCAAGTTTCCGAGTCAAGGTCTGAGTTCGGGCTCTCCATGGAGAGATGTGGGCTGTATGTGTCTGTGTATATATATATATGCATATATACATATGAGTTTAAGTATATACATATACATATGAATATATATATATATATATATAGACTTTGGCCCTTCAGGTGTTGGAAAACTGGAGGGGAGGGGGAACACCCAGGCTTGGCGAGTGGGGATAACTCGAACTTGCGCTGTAGGCTGAGGGGTTTAGGGTTCCGGGTTTAGGGTTTAAGGTTTCGGGTTGGGAGGAACGTAACCTAGAACCTCAAACCCTAGATGCCTAAACCCAATAGGACGAACTAGTTGTCGGACTTTGGTCCCTAAGCCCTAAAATCCTGAACCCTAAACAACTAAACCCTAAACCCTAAACCCTAAACCCTAAACCAACCCTAAACCCTAAACCCTAAACTTGGCCGCAGTTGACTGGTAATTCTCCACAACCCTAAACCCTAAACCCCTAAACGGGGTCCTCTGTTCGGTCATGGCATAAGGACCCCAGAGAGACCGCAAGTTGCAGGAAACCCTGCATGCTCTGAAGAAAGGTTATGGTTTTAGGGTTTGGGGTTTAGGGTTTAGGGGTTTATGGGTTTAGGTTTTAGGGTTTAGGGTTTAGGGTTTAGGGTTTAGGGTTTAGGGGTTATGGGTTTAGGTTTTAGGGTTTAGGGTTTAGGGGTTAGGGGTTATGGGTTTAGGTTTTAGGGTTTAGGTTTAGGGCATGAACCAGATTTAAGAACCCCTGACCCTTTAACCCCGCAATAGTAGGATCCATATCAAGATTGATACAAGCCTAAAGTTTCTTCATCAAGTTCCGAAAACCTGGTTTTCTTGGTATAATGTATGATTGCTGACCATGATACTATAAAATAACAATATCAAGACTATTCATAACAATGTAAACCATCACAAAATCAAGAAACTGATAAATACAGGAACAAACAACAATAAATACATAGATTAATAACTACACATGACTATAAAAATACGTTTGACTAGAAACAGAAATATAAAGAACATTTATACATACATATATATATATATACATATATATTCTATATGTGTGCACAAATATTCAAATACATACATTTGTAGAAAGAGACAGATGTCTGCAAATGTATTCTGCTTCTTATACTCGAAGAGTCGAGGCCTGCCCTTGCGGCCTGAGAGCAGGAAACTGTGCTATTCAATGCCATGGCCCTTTAAAAAGGGTGTTGATCTATATAAGGCATTGGTTTAGAGGTTTAGGGTTTCGGGGTTTAGGGTTGATATACTAGGGCTTACAGGGTTTATGCGTGTGGGGGGTTTAGGGTTTTGGGCTGAATCATGAACAGACAAGCTGCCGCAGACGGACGCGCTCGTGAAGGATCTCGTCGCAAAGGTTCCAGCCCATCTGAGCATCCTTTGCGTGTACAAGTGTTTGGAGTTTGGGATCCGGCTAAACATCAAAACTGCCGCAACCAACGTTCTTCTCGTGTCCTCACTGTCCTCTTCGAAATCTGACGAAAACAAGCTATAAGGACCCCAGGAAAACCCCTACAAAGCAACCGCCTCGCCCTCACCCCAAGCCCTACACCGTGGCAACGGAAGTCATACCTTCAGCTCAGGCTCGATAATCGGCCTGGCCAACAGCGACGTCTTGTGACGGTGCCTACTGTAGCCTGCTAGACCTTGCTTCTGTGGCATACGAACGCACGTTCAGGCTCTGCTAGGATACACAACTTTCATGGTTTCCAACACACTCCAGACACCTAACCGGGTCTGCGTGAAAGCAGACTCCAACTTCGACGAGCTCAGATACGGAAACTCAACCGGTATACGACATACTCTGTGGGTTGCATTGAAAGATCGGCATGAATTTGTTTTGTGCTAGATGACGCTTCGGGAGTCTAGTTGCATTTTGAGGGGTGATGGTGTGGACGCTTTTATATCTTCGGATTGAAAACATGTGGGCAAACGAACCTATTCTTGTGATCAGTGGGATGTCCAGCTTTGCACTTGTTGCAATTCAGCTCCGAACACTGATTCTCCCGGTCTTGTCAGGCTGCTAGAATCAGGAAATATCAAGCACCGAAGCGGGCCGTAATCCGCGAATCTTACCCAAGTCTTCTACTTCAACCCTAAACCCTAAAACCCTAGACCCTTTCGGGCCTCTTGTGCGGCGTCGCCACCACCAGATGCCGAGCCTTTAGGGTTTCGGGTTCAGGATACAGGGTTTTAGGGTTTAGGGTTTAGGGTTTAGGGTTTAGGGTACAGGGTCTTAGGGTTTAGGGTTTAGGATACAGGGTCTTAGGGTTTAGGTTCTAGGTTTTAGGACACAGGGTTTTCGGGTTTGTTGAGCTTAAGCCGTAGAGTTGGGCAGCCGTCTTGGAACGATCTGGCTGTCGCTAAGATCAGGAGGTTTCGGCCCGATAGTCCTCGTAGATTGTGGGGTCGTAGGGTGCAGACTTGTAACTAGCTAGCTACATTTATATATATATATATATATATATGTGTGTGTGTGTGTGTATATACAGTGTGTGTACATATATATATATATGTAGATATAGTCGGGTTTGTGAGCTTTCGAATTTGGGGCTGGGGCACGTCAATTTCCTACCCCTCCAGGGCCAAGGACCCCAAAGCCCCAAACCCTAAGAGGAGAGGTTCAAACTTGGCGGTTTTTGCACCCCACACGCCCACGTAAGTGCCAGAACGAGAGAGCTGGAGAGAGACAGTGACAGAGAGAGGGAGCGAGAGAGAGAGAGAGAGAGAGAGAGAGAGAGCGAGAGGCAGGGAGAGGCAGGGAGAGAGAGAGGGAGAGGGAGAGTTAGAGGGAAAGATTGACATGATGAGCAAAATAAGATTGCATGCATGCACACATGCATAAGCCGTGTGGCAGACAAGGTAGTAATCATTTTGCGGTGCTCCTTTCCTAAGGCGCACCATGTAGACCAAACTCCAATGCCCTCAATACCTCCAACGCTCTCAATATCCAACCCTAATCTCTCAACCCTCAACCCAAAACTCCGGCGAACCATGCATGCCTAAACCCAAACAAACACTTGAGATTCCGTTCGTTTAGGATCGAAGCGCGATGTTCATGAAAAAACAGTGGAACCGACTGTGCTCTTGTGAAGCCCTCATCAAACACGTTTGGAGACGCCTGCAGCATATAGCCGTATAGAGCCGTAAAGATCGAACGATAATCCGAGGGGACGGCCTGCCGTGCCAGGGCTTGCAACGTCACCGCAAGCCACGACCCTCAGCTGGTACTCGTAAAGTGGATGCTTATTCAAGGGTTTTAGAGGCTTTTCAAGGTGTCCAATGTCCATATAACGGCTGCATATGGGTTCGATAAGGGTTTAGCACATGTGTTCTTTATCACTGTTTTCGTTGATTCCTATCTTATGGGTAACCCTAACCCTCCAGGTACCTACTATACAGGGCCCTAGGGGCTCCAGTGCCCTCTATAGTAGGTGCCTGGAGGGTTGGGGTAAACCTTAGACCCTCGACCCTAAACTCCAAATCAACCGAGAACGAATGCACCCGTCCCAACGCCTCTCAATGATCCCTAAACCCTAGACCCTAAACCCTAAACCGATCAAATGCAGATCCCGGACGCTTCCAACGAATCCCAAGCCCTGAAGCTCGAAGCCTGAGCCTAACCCCGAATCCCGAAACCCGAATCCCTAAATCCTAAATAGGGCTTTAGCGGTTTAGGGTTTAGGGGTTTAGGGGTTTAGGCTTAGGGTTTATAAATCCTAAATCCCTAGCCACGAATCTCTAAGCCTACATGACTAGGTTCGCCCTTTGAAACATATACGTAAATAAGATCCTCCAAGGCCCAAGAAGAAGATATCCCAAAAGCCTACCTAGCTGAATCGATCTTGCGGCCCAACTTCGATCCAACAGGTGCAGAGCGAAGCCTCGGATTTTTGGGTTTAAAGGGCTCGGGCTATGGGGGTTTTAGGGGTGTAGGGGCTGTAATTGTTTTAGGGGTTTAGGGATTCAGTCATCTGGAGCTTTGGGTTTTGGGCTCAATCGAAACCTATTTGTTTGTGATTCCGTCTCGCTTTGCAACGACTTTAGTGCCAAAATGATGCCAAACGTACACCCTCTTACAGGGTTTACCCATGACACCTTTCTAAAATTCCTTTTCAAACCCTTGTAGCGGCGTGAAAGCCTTAAGGGACCCTGACAGACCCCTTACAAAATCCTTCTCGAATCCATATGTTCAAAAATCCCGCCGCCTCTGTTTCCGCACCTTGTTTTTGACTCTATATTCTATATTGAATTTATGTTTAAGTGTTAGGAAAACCTGTTTTTTCGAGGTTTCTGCACGTGCGTTTCTTGCTCTCTATTGGAGTGCACATTGTGTTCGGGCTTGCAAGTTCCGTTTGGGCTTGCACTGTCGGTTCTCTGGATATTGAAGCACCACCACCACCATCATCACAACCATCATCATCATCATCATCGCAATCACCATCACCACCATGACGGTGATCGTTGTTGTCATCATCCTCGCCAAAATAACATCAACAATAATAGTCCAATAACAACCGTCATCATCTATTCATATTAACTTCATAGTTCATGAAGCCAGCTAGGAAGATCGAACAGACTAGTTTATAATTGCAAACGGCGGTGAGATGGCCGGCCGCAAAAGGAGGGTTGACTTGAGAGTTACAAAGACTTAGTTGAGAACTACAAAGTTCAGAACTAGGGTTCAAGTCGTGGTGACGGTTCAGACCGGAACGTAATTAGCCCCCCTGCCTTCCCCCCCTCCCACCCCCCTAAACCTCAAACACCTTGAAAAAACCTGGTGCGGTTGTAGAGTCGCTAGCATATATATATATATATATATATATGTATGTATACACACACTTATACACTATACATGCATACCCACATACAGGCAGGCAGACCCACAAACAGGCAGGCAACAGGCAGAAAGAGAGTGTCACACACCTATGCATATATATATATATAGAAATATATATAAATAAATAAATAAATATATATATATATATATATGTATATCCGTATATACATATACAAACACACACACACACACACACATATATATATATATATATGTATGTATGTGTGTTTGTTTGACAACCCGCCAGCAACCAAGAGGCTGCAGATCACGAGATCGTACTTGGCCGACTCGAGACAGCCGCCCGCAATCTGCCCGTGTGCTGCACTGGCGTTCACCAGTTTTCGGGTTTCAGGGTTTGGGTTTAGGGTTTAGGATTTAGGGTTTAGGGTCTCGGGTTTAGGGTTCCGGGTTCCAGGGTTTAGGGTTTTTTAAGTTGGTACACTCGGGTTTAGGGTTTCGGGGTTTAAGTTTTTTTTAACTTGGTACACTAAGGTTTAGGGTTTTTGGGTTTGGGGAAACTAGAACCCCCCTCGTTTTAAGCGCTCTTGTGCGTACATATAGCTGCGATAGGTCATCCTTCAAAGATGGTTCGCTGGATCCCAAGACGCCAGTTCAGCAGAATCTTCGGCTTTCCCCAAGCCCTAAAATATCATTTACGGCCTGGGGCTTTGGGATTGGGTTTAGGGTTTAGGGTTTAGGGTTTAGGGTTTAGGGTTTAGGGTTTAGGGTTTAGGGTTTAGGGTTTTGAGTATCCGAAACTTGCTGAGGGCTAGGGTCGGGGAAAAGGTGCATAGCTTGACTCCTTCATTTGCTCTCTCTCTCTCTCTCTCTCTCTCTCTCTCTCTGGTGCGCTAAATCTCTGATTCATCGCAACTTATTTGGGAGACAGAGAACTTCGAAAAGCTGCACGTCTCGAGTCTAGGTGGGATCCAGGGCATATGGTATGCCCGGCATAGGACAGGATCTTGGGACTCGAAACTCTAAGGAAACATACCCTAAACCCTGAGCTTGAAACCAGGCTTTCTAACAACAACTTTGGACCCTGGGCTTAGTTCAAGACTCGAAACCTCAAACCCCAAACAGGTAGAGATTGCTGTTCGCGCAAAGAAATGCTGACAGGGTCTATGTCACAGTCCTGTAGTGCCCGGAACAGCTTCGCACTTCGAGGTTCATGGGAGTTCGAGGATGGAGTCATCATGTAAAATTAGGATGAAGACTCAGATTGAGTGTATGCGTGTGCTTCATGTGCACTTTCATATACAGACATAAGGCCACCAGTACCTGCATTCCTGAATGCATCCATGAGCCTTCCAGTAAGGCTACGTAAAGGTCGACGCAACATAAAGACTGAAAGCCCACAACCAAAAAACCCAAACCCCGAACCTTCACCCTGAAAGCATCCTCAACAAAATAGATCTGCGAAGCCGCATGGTTTGTGGCTCCAGGGTGTCGTGTTTAGAGCCGCAGGATTTGATGGTTTAGGGTAGGGGTAGGGTTTAGGGTTTAAGGGTTTAGGGACCTTAATAATTAGAATAGGGCTTGGGGTATATTATACTACAACTATAATCAGGAACCCCCAAAACCCTATTCTAATCACTAAGGCCCCTATATTACCCCAACACATCCTAAAACCCAAAACTTAACCCTAAACCCTAAACCCTAAACCCTTCAGGCCTTAAGCACCCGAGCCCTGGGCCCGAAAACATGAACGGTCCTCTTCGAAAGTCCACCGGAAGCATGCTCTTCCAGGATATCGTCGTTCGAAAGCTTCGAAGGTGTAGGGATCCTAACGGCGAGGTTATAGGGTTTAGGGTTTAGGGTTTTAGGGTTTACTAAACCCTAAACCCTAAACCCTAAACCCCAGGAAGTTTAGGGCTTTAGGGTTCGAGGGTCTTTGGTGAAGGTTTGGGATGACTAGCATCCGGATTGCTACCGTTTGGGCATCGGACTTCGGGCATGAAACGTTAAGGGCTTTAGGATTATATAAGGGTTTAGGGTTTAGGGTTTTAGGGTTTAGGATGAAGGGTTTAGGGTTTTAGGATTAAGGGCTTAGGGTAGGATTCTAGAGCTCAGAACTTCTAGAAGATCCTTCCTTTCTTGTCAGTCGCTCAGGGTTTTAGGCTTTATAAGTCTGCTTTCGGAGCTGCTGCTCTACTGTCTATACCGTCTATATTCGAACCAGAAGCTCGCGACCACAATATCCAAAGACCCCGCATTGACAACCCCTGGACCCCGAAGCCAAATCCCACTTAGCCATAAGTTACACATAGTCGAGAAACTCTTTTAACATGATCTTCGGCCCACATGAAAAGTGAGAACCCCAGCGCCAAGCAGCTCGCATGCCTCACCAATACACTCCTGATCAAAGGATAGACTCACTCGCAACAGGGTTCCTGCGCCAAGCCCTAAGCCTTAAACCCCCAAGAGTCAAAACACCAGCCCTAAGCCTAGACCCTCCCTAGACTACTCTAAACCCTACCAGTTACCTTCAGAGCCCTAAACCCTGAACCCTAGAAACCCAAACCTTTCACCCCAAACCCTGAACACTACCCTAAACCCTAAACCCTAAACCTTAAACCCTAACCCCTAGCCTGTTTCATGCCACGCAGCACTAGCCTCCATGCGAGAGGGAGCGTTGGCTCCTGCAGTGGCGCAGACTTCTGTAAGGCTCCATGTACTTATATACCTTAACCTACCAAACCTACATTTTTGTAGGGTCCCTATAGATTCCATTTTAGGGTTTATATAAGAACCTACAAAAAAGTAGGGTTTGGTAGTTTAAGGTAGTGTATACTTAGCCCTACATGATTCCTTGAAGGGCTCCTAGAAGGGTGCTACAAGGGCTTCGGGTTCACGGTTGAAGGCTCCATGTACCTCTATGGTATATACTTGCGCCTCAAGATACCTCTGCAAGGACTACTTTCAGGCCGTAAACCCTAAACCCTAAACCCCTAAACCCTAAACCCTATAAGTATAAGCTTATCATAGGCACATGGAGCCTTAGCATTTCGAAGATCTTTCGTCACGTGGGAGCCTGCGACCTCGGGATTTCTGTTGTCGTCGTCAGTAGCAGCTGAAACGATCTGGGGGTTTAGGGTTTAGGCTTTAGGCATCTAGGCTTTGGGGTTTAGGGTTTAGGGGTTTAGGGGTTTAGGGTTTAGGGTTTAGGGTTTAGGGGTTTAGGGTTTAGGCGTCTAGGCTTTGGCTTCGGGGTTTAGGAGTAGCCCCCTAAGAATCCGGGTAATTACCCTTTGCCCTACTAGTGGGTTTTAATAAGTAAGGGAGCCCAGAAACAACAAGGGCAAGGGGAGCCTACGAAAAGTTGTCTACACCGGACCCGCAAACCTCAAATATGTTGTTGGCCAGTGACTGCTAAATGCCTTCGTTAACCGTGGCATCCAACGGAGTCTTCGAAGGCTCTAGGTTTCTTGGAACATAACTCTATAAGGATTGCTGTGACCTTAGAAGATAGGTTTCTCAGAATGCCCCCCCCCCCCAGAACAGAGATAGCTTTCAAGCTATTTGGAGCCCAGCAGTGACTAGCGCACCCAGAAGCTTCTCGGCACAAAGAACGTCAACTTGTGGCTGTTTTGTTTCGACTTGTATCCAAATGACTCTTCTCACACTCGCTCGATTTGGTTCTCCACAACAGAAGGCGCACCCTCGAGGCATAAAATTTGCAAACGAACATCAATGTGTGTCTCTGTGGTTCTTTGTGTTTCGTTTTGCTTCGACATGTATTGAAATGCTTCGAACTTAAAACCTGGTACATTGCAAAAAAAGTTAAAAGGTTTCCAGATCCCCAGAGACCAAAGTAAAAACAAACTCCAAATCACAAGTTTTAATCCGTGTGTCCAGAGACCAAATTTTCAACAAAATCAAATTTTGAACCATCAAGAATTTCGAATTAAGGAGGCTTCCAGATCACCAGAGACCAAATTTCAAAAGACATACAAAGTGAAATACAACCAAACAACATAGATCGAAAAGGTTTCCAGATCCCCAGATTCAAAACTTCAAAACAACTAAAAAGCTTCCAGATCCCCACGAGTAAACTTCTCGGAAATTTGAGAGTTGCCTTCCAGATCCACAGAAGGCAAGACCAAAGAGCTTTCTGTCTAAGTGCTCATAAGCATACTCAAATAGCGCAGAGAGGTCCTACGCACATATGTGTATGTATATACATACATTTGTATATGTCTAAACCCTAAACCACTAAGCCCCAAAACCCCTAAACCCTAAACCCCAACTGTAAGCCCCAACCGGAAAACCGCCCCTACAACCCCTCAACATTAAATCCCCAAACCCCAACCCGGGTTATTGCTTAAGTTGGAGCCCTGATGCGCAACCCCTTTGAGCAACCCTCGCAGCGACCCAAATCGTAAAGGTGCCCGTTGAAGGACTCCCTGGTAGCCTTTTAGGAACCCTAAGCCCCTCAACCCTCAAAAACCCTAACCCCCAAATCCTGAACCCCTAAACCCTACAACCCTAAACCCTAAACACCGTGTAATCACCCTTATAGCCCTAAACCCTAAACCCCCCTGTAGCAACCCTGAAAGCAACCCGTATCCTCGACTCTGGAGCCATTTCTCCAGAGCAGCGGTGGCCTCTTCTTCAGGGTTCAGGGCTTAATTGTTTGTGAGGGGGTTTAGGGTTTGGGGTTTAGGGTTTAGTTTGGGATTTAGGTTTAGGGGTTTAGGGGTTAGGGTTTTTGCTTCGCTTTGGGGTTTAGGGGGAGGGGTCTCCGATGGGTTCCAGAGCTTTTACATGGGATGTAACAGGCGATAGATGGTTCTACTTGTGGCCTATGGGGCTTGAAAACTGTAGGGTTTCGTGCCGGGGCCCCGGAGATGTCTAAGCCCGGGCTTTAGAGTTTGGCGCCGGATAAGGGGCCCGCGATTACGAGGTCTGGGATTTCGCATCGTGCAAATCCCTGGCATCACAAGTGCTCGGTTGCAGTTTGTGGCATTATCTCCGTGGGCTCTGGTGGCATGAGTTGCGAGTTGTTCTACTCCTAACAAGCATGACAGAGGGTCTTGACGGATCTGGAGATAAAGTTGTCCATACGTGCTCTTAGTTTATGCACACCAATGTCCAACCCCGAAATCATTCTGTAAATCCTAAACCCTTACACTCGAAATCCCAGGAGAGCCTCTTCAGCCGCAAGTGCCTAGGGCCCTGCACCCTCAGTCGCAATACCGGCACAGCGATCGACATCCCAAAAGCAAGCAGCAGGAATCACAACCCGTTCCAAGCTGCTGTAGGCGCCTCAATAGTTAGAATAGGGTCTTGGAAGCCCTTATGAGAATTATAGTATAATATACCCCCCAAACCCTACCCCTATAGTACTTGTTCTTGAAACCAAACCCTTGAGCCAGTACAGAACCGCCCAAAACCCCCGCCGAAAGTCGTGAGCGCGGGCTTACGATGCCCTGCATAGAGCTTTCTAAACCCTAAACCCTATACCCTACCTGACCCTAAAGAACCTACCTTTTTAGGGTTCCTTAATATGAATTCCTTATATAAGACCTTAAACAAGTAGGTTATTTGGGGTTAAGGTAAACCCTAAACCCCTAAAGGGCTGAGGCAACGGAGACTAATCGGGACCCTGCCTCGCCACTGCCGCAAGCCAGGTCCAAGACCGAATCCAGCGATCGCAAGCCTTTCAGCAAGACGAGGGTTTTAGAGTTTAGGGTAGACGATAATCCGGTTTAGGGTTTAGGGTTTAGAGTTTAGGGTTGACGATATGGGAAAGCTCTCTACATCAGGCCCCTTTCAGGGTTCCAAAAGGGATTTTTCAGGGCTTATATGGGGTTCTATGAGGAATAAATGTGGGTAGCTCTGTAAATGCGGGCTTTCTTTTGGGGTCCTTTTCAGAAGGCTGCCGTACTATGAACCACATGCACGGAAGCAACAGGATTCTGAAATCTGGGTCCTTGTGAAGGAACTTAGTTTAAGTTACCATAGTAAGAAAAACATAAATTGTTTACCATAGATCCCAAACCCAGTGCTTAAATTCATTTAGTAGAATCCTGGTGTAAGATGAAGGGGAATCTTCAGCGCCCTGCTCGGTCCCTCTAATCTCTGAAACTCATGCCTACATGTACCTAGTGTTCTTCTACCCTCTAGTTCAGGTATAACTACTCCTGCAGGCGCGCGCGGGAAAAAAAACACATGTAAAAGCCCGAAATCAGACTCATAGACTCTAAACCCTAAACCCTAAACCCTAAACCCTAATATTGAGTTTGATGGTTTTAGGGCGAGGCCGAAACCCCTAGCTCGAAAGCCTAACCCCAAACCGCACACCATCACACACCATAGCTTCTAAACTCAATTTCCCGATCCCACAAATCCTAATTATATAGTAGTTTACACCGGAAACACGAAAACTAAGCCCCTAAACCCTAAACCTAAGCTAAACCTCTTCTAAAGAAACCAAAAGTCTAGCCCTAATCCCAAAAACCCAGCCCCCTGAACTCATGATGTGGCAAAGCAATATGCTCAAAGCCACCTGGGTGGTTGTCAAAATTATGGTCCCTTTTTGGGTCCTTATTAGAATACGGCACCTACTATTTAGGGTACCCCAAATGGGACCATAATTTTGACAACTACCCACCTGAGATCTGTCCCTGGTCTGACCAGGCATCGAGTGCGCAGGCAAAGGCCTCAACTTTGGAGGGTTTAGGGTTTAGGGGTTCAGGGTTTAGGGTTTTAGGGTTTAGGGTTTAGGGTTTAGGGGCTCGGGTTTTTGATTTGGCATTGGGGGGGTTTCGAGGTTTAGGGTGTATGCTTCAAATTTGGGTTTGAGGCTATAGAAACACATAGGATTAGAGGCGATTCAAGGCCGTTTCGATTTGGCAGCTGTAAGATTAGAACTTAGGTAGGTAGGATGTCGACTCTTATTCAGGAAAAGAAGCTTCTGCGTCGCCAAAGAATCGTTCTTCAAAGGTCGGGCCCCTTGCGTTGGGCTCCGGATGAAGTTTCAGAAGAGGAGTTTACCTGGGTAAAGGGTCTCTTATGTAAGGGTCTCTTAAATATATCGGATCAGGGTTCAAGGTTTGGGGTTTAGGGTTTAGGGTTTAAGGTATGGAGCTCAGGGTTTAGGGTTTAAGGTTGGGGGGTTTACGGGTTTAAGGTTCGGAGTTTAGGTTAACAGTTTCTGGAACTTCTCACCCGGATCTTGTTGCTATCTTTTTCCCCCAGTCCTAGCCAGAAACATGGGAACCCAGCGCCACGAACACTAGGAGTATCGAGGTGTACCGTTTCAGTAATCAGCAGAATATCGACGCTCGAGGCAATCCGCGGCTGCTGTGCATAGTAAACTTAACATGTTCTGAAATCTCCACGACATGAACCAAGCGGGACTACAGGATAGCCGCTACTTCATGTATGGTACTATATCGAATTGTACTATATGATATTATATCATGGTTCTCATCTCATATTACGTTATGGTGTATATTGTGTACATATATATGTATATAGTTGTATATGTTATGTCAAGGCAACCCGTAAACCGTGCAACCCAAATCCTTCCACCAGTGGTGATAAGACTTACACTCATGTGGGTCGAGGGTTTGGGGGGCATGAAGTCTAGGGCTTTTTAGGGTTTAGGGCCTGCCTTAAGAACCCAAAACCCACTTCTTTTTAGGTTCTTATTATAAACCCTAATTATGGGATTTATAGGGACCCTACAAAACTAGGTTTTGGGTTCTTAAGGTAGGGTTTAGGGTCTAGGGCTTATAGACTCTCTCGAAAAAAGTGTGGCATGGATTTAGGATGATTGCACCCATGTTGGTTTAGGGTTTGGGGTATAGAATCTAGGGGTTTTAGGGTCTAGGCCTTATAGAATACCCAAAAAAAAGAGTGGGGCATGGATTTAGGATGATTAGTGCTCGAGCGCTTTCTTCCCCTAAACTCTACACCCCAAAGGACCCAAACCCCGAACCCCGGAGCCCGAGTCTTAAGATCTTAAGCCCGAAACCCTATGTACCCTATACACCTCAAACCGCATGCTCGCACATCCTAAACCTTAAGCCCCAAACCTTAAACCCTAAACCCTAAACCCTAAACCCTAAACCCAAAACCCAAACCTCCGACAGATCAGAGCTGGACTTCCTACCTACCCTAAACCCTAAACCCTAAACCCTAAACCCTAAACCCTAAACCCTAAACCCTAAACCCTAAACCCTAAACCCTAAACCCCTAAACCCTGGACTTCCTACCTGCCAGGACCCCCGAGCCGGCCTCGTTCAGAACTTCGCTGTGCGGATTCACGTACGATGCGCCCTGTTTTTGGGTTTTGGGTTTAGGGTTTAGGGTTTAGGGTTTGGGGTTTAGGGTTTAGGGTTTAGGGTTCTGGGTTCTATACAGGGCCCTGGGGGCTCTAGTGCCCTATATAGTAGGTACCTGGGGGGTTAGGGTAGGGTGAATGGGCTTATAAGATGGTTTACGGACTTAGTGGTTGAGGGTTTAGGGGTGTAGGGGTGCAGGGCTTGTGGGGTTTAGGGGTTTGGGGTTTATGAACTGGGTTTATATAGGGTTTAGGGTCTAGGCTGTAGGCGAGAAGCAGGCGGGAAGAAGCAGACTATTCCAGAAGCGGCTTGGCGATGACGATACCATATTACTCTGAGTGTTTCTTTGACGGTGATGATTTATGTACATGCTCTTATGCTTGTTATTGTTATTGTTATTGCTATTATCTTTATTCGGTGTTGGCAACTGTCGGCGTTAGGGGGGGCAGTTGTGGTCATCTGCCAAATTAGGGCTTTTGCTTTGATTGGTCTCCCACACCCCTTCATTAACTTGAAATTCCGAGCCCCCACGAGACCAACGCCAAGAAAGCATGGCCTCGTTTCTTGCGCGCTTCCGGCGCACACCCAGCTTGAACATTAGAGACAACCACACCCTCATCGACCGCAGAATTGCAATGGCGCAACGTATCACTTGCTAGGAGTTAGGGTCTCAAGATGCTCCATCCCAAGAGAGCCATAAGTCGGGTTAAGAAGGGTCCATTTTAAGGGGTCTCCCTAATACTACCTAGGACTTGCTCCATCAACGCCGAGCCTTGAAGCCTAAACCCTAAAATTCACGAGCCCCAGAGTCTCCAGAACCCGGAAATTGCTAACGGAGGCTGTTACACCTGGACCCTCTTGAAACCTGCAGTGCCCTAAACCCTAAACCCCAAGCCCAATGAACCCAATAAGCCCTATCAGTCCTGTAATAAACCCTAAACCCTAGAACACAGAGACAAAAAGCAAAACAGGGCTCCAAGAATCTCCCGGGCTAGCCTTGGCAGCATAGAACGCTTCTGCACCCAAATCCTGCATGGGCGGTTCCCGACCCGTGGGTTCGAGCTAGGGTTCCGTTCTAAAGGGATCTATAAAGGGCTCAACAAGGGTTCTATAAGGGCTCAATCAGGGTTCTATGAAAGGTTCTGCAAGGGTTTGTGGTTTAGGGTTTGAAGTTGGGGGATAAGTTCTTGAGGGCCTGGTTAGGGGTTTATATGTTTCTGATGATTTCACTTCGGCAGAGCTCCGTTATTCACTTCACTTTATACGGCGAATCTACTGATAATATTGCTGCGCTCTGTGCACTGTAGACTTCTAAACACTAAAACTCTGAACGCCTAACCCCCCAAAACCCTAAACCTTTAGCCCTGATTACTTGAAGATGCCGGGGGGAACTTCGCAGTAGGACACAAGCAGGTTTGTGGAACTACCTATTACCAGCTTAGTTAGGGCCTAGAACATACCTAGTCAACCACGCATCCTCTATGTTCGAGTCTTAGTAGACAACCCCAAAATATTTAAAGGAGAGCTTGGGGTTGCTGTAGAGGCCTCAACAATTGGAATAGGGTTTTGGGGGTTCCTTACTATAATTATAATATGATATACCCCAAACCCTATTCTAATTATTAAGGCCCCTATATTAAAAGGGTTCTAACCCAAGCCCCTTGATCCTCTAAGTACCTTGTGCCGTGGCGAGATTTCTGAAACAGCAGCCTCACCAAACCCTGAAACCGTCGGGGGCCTCGGAAGGTGGGATGAGGGTAGGTCGGATTAAGGATCCCTTGCACGCACTTTAAAATCCTTAAGGTCTGAATCCTAAACCCTAAACCTTATAAACCCTAAACCAAGACT